CGACAGTATTGCATGCACTATTTTGGAAATGCACTGCAGCCAGATCGCATGGTACTGTACATATATTCACACTGCGTTTGGTGTGTAATTAACATTGACCCATGCTGCAGATTGCAACTACAATGCATTTTGAACACTTGTGCCACAGCAGGTTCTAGTGTGAACCTAGACTTAGATGCTGGTTCTGAATTGGGATGACTAATTGTAATCAGCTTGTGCACTTGGAGTGCTCTGAGGAGAAAAGCTGCAGTGTCTTCATCCCTTTAGTTGTGATTAAAGTGATTCTAAATGTTCATTTTTTTTTTCTTTTTTTTTACATAACAAGCATGTCATAATTACCTGACGCTGGGGTGGGATGGGGCCAGGAACGCCAGCGGGGGGACCTGAGAATAGGAGGATCAGGGCTGCTCTGTGCAAAACCATTGTACAGAGCAGCCCTGATCCTCCTATTCTCAGGTCTCCCACTGGCGCTCCTGGACCCACCCCACCCCAGCACCGAGTTCCGATGCGCACCATAGCAAGCCGCTTGCCATGGGGGCATTATTATTATTACATCTAGTTTATATAGCGCCAAAGGGTTTGCTCAGCGCTGTACAATAGAGGGGTGGACAATACATGAAACATTACAGCACCTACAAACAGCACACGAGGGGTTATAGGGCCCTACTCTTTAGAGCTTACAATCTAGGAGGGAGGGGGTAGTGGTACAGGAGGAAGTGGCTGTGGGGGATGGAGTGGTAGGAGGAATGAAGGAGAGCAGCAGTTAGGTGAGGGTGGGGTAGGCTTCCCTGAAGAGGTGGGTTTTCAGGGAGCGCCTGAAGGTGAAGAGGTAAGGTGACAGTCTGATGGATTGGGGTAGTGAGTTCCAGAGGATGGGGGAGGACCTGGAGAAGTCTTGCAGACGTGCGTGTGAGGAGGAGACCAGGGAGCAAGATAGAAGGAGGTCCTGTGAAGAGCGAAGGGTACGGGTAGGGTGGTACTTGGGAATCAGGTTGGTGAGGTAGTTAGGGGCAGTGTTGTGAAGGGCTTTGTAGGTCAGAGTGAGTAGTTTGAATTTGATGCGTTGGGCGATAGGGAGCCAGTGGAGGGATAGGCAGAGGGGGGTGGCAGAGGTGGAGCGGGTGGTGAGGTGGATGAGTCTGGCCGCTGAGTTCAGGATGGTCTGAAGCGGGGAGAGCCTGCACTGGGGTAGGCCGGTGAGGAGGGAGTTGCAGTAGTCAAGGCGTGAGATAATCAGGGAGTGTACGAGTAGTTTAGTGGTGTCTGGGGTAAGGAAGGTGCGTATTTTGGCGATGTTCCGGAGGTGGAGCCTGCATGTGTTTGTAAGTGATTTGACATGAGGTTGGAAGGAGAGGTTAGAGTCCAGAATGACTCCAAGGACTTTGGCTTGCGGGGCGGGATTGATGGTGGTGATGTTAGTAGTGACGGATAGGATGGGGGGGGGGGCGCGGGCAGGAGGGAAGACGAGAAGCTCGGTTTTGGAGAGGTTAAGCTTGAGGAAATGGAGCGACATCCAGTCAGAGATGTCGTTTAGGAGGTGAGTGATGTGGGCGGAGAATGTGGGGGTGAGGTGGGGGGTGGAGAGGTAAATTTGAGTGTCATCAGCGTAGAGGTGGTAGTTGAAGCCGTGGGAGTGTATGAGTTTGCCAAGGGAGGAGGTGTAGATGGAGAAGAGAAGGGGTCCAAGGACAGAGCCCTGGGGGACCCCAACAGAGAGGGGGAGGGAAGGGGAGGTGGCACCATTGTAGGAAACGCTGAAGGAGCGTCGGGATAGGTAAGAGGAGAACCAGGAGAGAGCGGTGTCTCTGATGCCAAGGGAGAGTAGTTTATTAAGGAGGAGGGGGTGGTCAACTGTGTCGAAGGCCGCGGAGAGGTCCAGGAGGAGGAGGACAGAGTAGTCGCCTTTGGCTTTGGCGGTTAGTAGGTCGTTGGTGATTTTGAGGAGGGCGGTTTCGGTGGAGTGTAGGGGACGGAAGCCGGACTGTAGTGGATCAAGGAGGTTGTTGTCAGTTAGGTGGGCGCTTAGGCGGTCGTAGACTAAGCGCTCCAGGAGTTTGGAAGTGAGTGGCAGCAGGGAGATGGGTCTGAGGTTGTTTGGGTCAGAGGGGTCCAGGGAGGGCTTTTTGAGTATGGGGGTGATGTGTGCATGCTTTAGGGGGGAGGGGAATACGCCAGTAGAGAGGGAGAGATTGAAGATGTGGGCAAGGGAGCAGATGAGGGAAGAGGGGGGTGACTGGAGGAGTCGAGAGGGGATAGGGGGCAGGTAGTGAGGCGGGCTTCTGAGAAGACCCTGGTGACTTCCTCAGTGGTAGCGGGGCTGAAGGAGTGCAGAGCTGGGGGGGTTACGGTAAGCGGGGTCTTGGGTGTGGAGGGGGGCAGTGCGGTTGCGTGGTCAGAGGAGGGAAGAGATGAGGGGGAGATAGGGGGGGGGGGGGCTAGGTGGGGAGGTAGATTGCGAGTTGACTATGTCCTGACGGATTGCATCAATCTTGTTGTGGAAATGAGTGGCAATTTCGTGGGCGGTGAGTGAGGTACTGAGTGGAGGAGGGGGGGGGGGGGAGAGTAGGGAGTTGAAGGTGAAGGTGGAGAAGAGTCGGCGAGGGCAGGAGGAGAGGGTGTTGATCAGGGTTACGAAGTAAGCCTGCTTGGCGGCGTGGAGGGAGGAGGTGTAAGTGAGGAAGGCCGATTTGTGCATGCTCGCTGTAAAGCCACCTCTGTGTGTCCATAAGATCCAAAAGTGTGGCTCGGCCTCACTCCCTCCTCAATGGCTGTAAATGGCACCAGTGGCTTCAGATACTGTCTCTAAGCCAATGAGAAGTGTGAGCCTTAATGCTCATGTACATTGCTGTATCGAAATCGGGCTCAGGTGAGTATGGGGGGTATGGTGCACTCAGTCATTGACTGCGTAAAGGTAAAAACATTTCTGCCTTTAGAACCCCTTTAACCCTGAGAGAGTATCCCACCAAAAATGACATTTTTGTTGCACAGGATGCCTAAAACCTGACTTGTACAGAGTTCTTTGCTCAAGCAGGAAATTAGGTTTCTGGGGGTGTTCTGGACACCAACCATGTACAGATCGCCTCTAGGAGGCATACTGCATGGACTTTATAATAGAAATTACAGTGGCTGCAGTTTGAAAAGGAAAGGTAAAACCTGAAATTAGTTTGGTTTGAGTAGCAATTGTGTATGCTATTTTAAAATATTTTTTTATTCGCTGTATTTTTTACCATGAAAGTGGAGTTAACCTTTAAGGTCTGTGTTTTGTATGTGCTCTGCCAAAATAAAAACTGTTCATTTATGTATTGTGCTTTCTGTTTTGTTTTAGTGACCGTCCTTGCCATATTTCATGAGCTGCAAGTTGATGTTGAGCTCTACGCCCTTCTGTTTGGTGAAAGTGTCCTGAATGATGCAGTTGCCATAGTATTGTCCTCGTAAGTCCTCTGGTACATGTTCTAAAGGTTTGTTGTTGGTGTTCTGTAATTAGCTCAATGTGTAGTGCATATCCTAGACTGTCATGCAATGACGGACAGCTATGAGAACAGCTTTGTGTCAGCAGGTATCTGTTCAAAAGAAGCTAGTTTAACGACCAGCTTGTGTCAAATTGTCCTCCAGCATTCGATCAGCGCTTGCAGCAAATCGCTGCAAGTGCTGATCTATATATATTTTGTTGGAGGAGTCCCTGCTGTGAGAATACAATAGTGCGGCAGTGGAGATCCCTGCATCATACCCTGTTTGCGTTGACGCTGGGATCTGTCAGGTTTTTTTTTTTTTTTTTTTCTTCAAACTGCTGATTGAAGGGAAAAAAACGCACTTGTATACCAAGCTTAACCACTTCAAGTCCGGACACTTTCACCCCCTTCCTGCCCAGGCCAATTTTCAGCTTTCAATGCTATCACACTTTGAATGACAATTGCGCGGTCATGCAACACTGTACCCATATGAATTGTTTAGCATTTTTTTGAGACAGATAAAACTTTATTTTGGTGGTATTTATTCACCACTGGGATTTTTATTGTATTGCTATATAAATAAAAAGTCCAAACATTTTGAAAAAAGTGTTTTTCTTATAAAATTTTGCAAATAATCTTTCTTCATAAATCTTGACCAAAATGTATTCAGCTGTCACCATAGTGATACTGTACTACTTGTGGGGGTGATTAAGATTTTTTTTTTTATACATTGATTGCTTTTACACCCATAAAGGCTGTAAAAGCAAGCATTTCTCCTTCTCTCTGGCTGCATTCTTGCAGCCATTGAGAAATACTGTGTGAGCTGTGATTGGTCACAGCTTGTCACATGGTACAAGGCTGTTGTGAATAGCCTTGTACCATGTGTCCTCTGTGATCATTCACAGATTTCACTAGTAGTAAGCAATGATGTCGGAACTGACATCTTGCTTACTACTATTCATGTGATCACTGATTGGCCAATTAGTGATCACATGATCGGGACCTCACACAGAAGTCCTGTATAGCGATCGGTATCCCCCGGACACAGCGGGCACCGGATTGCGGTGTCACGCACTCCCAGGGAGCACGCACAGGCAGGGAAGCAGGAGGACGTTTATAAACGGCCACCCGCTCCTACACTGCTCCTGTTTTGGCCATTTATGTACATGGGCTAGACGGGAAGTGGTTAAGAATAACTACTGACTGGCAGACTGATTAAACATCTAATCTATGGGAAGTTGCTACAGTAATGCTTTAGAGTAGCAGTTCAGTAATGACTAGACCCTGACTGTCTGAAAAATCTGTATTTGTATATACCCAGGGGTAGTCATATCTGCACCTGATAATAAAATGTGAAAGTTCTTTTTGTACTTTTAGGCCTTGTAACAAGTTTGGGGGGGGATAAACCTTTTTTTTTTTTTTGTTTTTTTTTCCAGGTCAATTGTTGCTTACCAACCAGCTGGAGACAACAGTCACACATTCGACATCACAGCTATGTTTAAGTCAGTAGGGATATTCCTGGGTATATTTAGTGGATCCTTTGCTATGGGAGCAGCCACTGGAGTGGTCACAGCATTGATATCCTCTACTGCATCACTGTTTCTTTAACGTAATATAAAAAATATGTTTTATGTTTGTGCAAATATGTATAGGTGTGATATATTTTATTGATATCTAAAAATTACAACAGATACTGCAGATGTATTTTTTCTTTGTAACTTGAAACATATAGTAAGTTTTCTAATACATTACATTGACTGCTCCTTAACACTCTTTCACGTCACAAAGTTCACCAAACTGCGCGAGTTCCAGTTGCTGGAGACCGGTCTGTTTTTCTTGATGTCGTGGAGCACGTTCCTTCTGGCTGAAGCATGTGGTTACACAGGTATGCTGAGTGATGTCTACATGCTCCACTGTTATATGTTATACTGTAGACTACATAGTATTTGCTATGGGTTACCACCAGTTTGCTGATTGTATGCTGTTGGGGAAACATTCTTTAATTTCCTGTCCCAGAGACGCAACAGGAAGTTAGAAGAAATTTCCCAAAGTGAGGGGATTTTACTAATAGACACCTGTCCCCAGAGCAGTTTTCCCAAAATGCAAGATTTCCCGTTGCCTCATATTATGGGGACAGTTATAAAATTTTGGATTTCTCATTACTTTCTCTCTGGGTAACAATAGTTACTAATAATAGTGAATTCCCTCACTGGGGACACAGCAATAACAAACAAAAAAAACTTGAGAGTATAACCCTTCCCCAGTCAAAACTAAAAAAAGGTTTTGCCTAGAGATACATTTTAACATTTCATTATGAGTATGACCATGTTCGAAATTTGGTGTGTTTGTGTGTGTGGTGTTTTTTTTTTTTTTTTTTCTTTGATTCACCTGTACAAGTACATTGAATCCAGGTTTATTGGTAAACTATTATCATTTCAGGCATAAGAGTGCCATATCTGTTGCTTTAATGTTCCCCTTTACAATTAATGACCCAGTTATCCACTTACACTGTATACTATACACTAAAGGGAAAGTAGTGAATGTATTGAAAATGGTATTTATTAACTATTTGTTTGACTAAAACCTTGATTCAGATTAAGACTCGATACACACTAGCCTTTTTTTTAAGCTCCTAGAAGCTGTTGTTAGCATTTTTTTCTGCTCATAGAAGCCAAATAGTGTTATCCTATGTGTCCATGCAGTCAACTTTAGGCTGTTAGCGTTTGTTGAGCTTTAGCGTCTAAAAGCAGAGAAAAATTGTTTTTTTAGAGTGTTTTGGAGTGTTTTTCCAACAAAAAAAATGCTAAATGCTACTAAACTGCTTCTAATGGCTTATTTGTAGCATTTTTTTGTTTTTTCCTATATGTACTATAAAAACACTAACGCTCCTAAACCCTACTAAAAAAAGGCTATTACCCGTGTTTTCATCAAGCATTTTTTTTAGATCAAAAAAAAAAAAACCACACTAGTGTGAATGGAGTCTAAGAATGACTGACTTAATTAGAAGCCAAAATAATTTGATAACACTGCACATTTCAAAACAATCTGAAAGATTCTCACCTGCAGGTTGGGTTGCGTTTTTTCTTTTTCTTTTGACCAGAAAAATCAAGCAGAAATTGATATGGAAAGGAGAGAAAAAAATGACACAAATGCCTTTTATATTTTTCTAAGATTTAATTGGAATATTGGTTAGATTGATTGCATGATTGGTTTGTATGTAAGGACTTTAATGCATACCAATTAAAATTACTTCTGTTTGCAGTTGGTTAGAGTAATAAAAGATGATTTCTGACTGGCAGGCTACAACTTTAATGTTCTATATCTATATGCAGGTGTGGTTGCAGTCTTGTTTTGCGGCATTACTCAGGCACATTATACCTACAACAATCTATCTACAGAGTCCCAAATTCGAACAAAACAGGTATGTTTTATTTTGTAGGTTTCTCCAGAGCAAAGAATTCGCACAAAAGTCAAGGACAAAAATTGAATAGTCATGGGCTGTATATTTCTATGCGTCCATGCATTTAATGAGCTGAAGGAATAATCAGATTTCATAGTTTAAAAAAACATGATCCTTTCTACATGAACAAGAACAGATTTTTTATAATATTTTCCATTGGAAAATCCCAGTTTATAAAGGTAACATAGTTAATTTTTACACATTTTCTTATTTATGGCCTGTACAAAAAAAATTAAAATGTTTTTATTAGTGTGAATATGTACATATTTTATATGAATGGATCTCTTTCTCCCTTTTCTTTCTGTTCTTTGTCTTCTCTTTTATCCTTTTCTCTTTTCCTTTCTTACTTTTTCCTATCTTTTATTCTTTTTCTTTCCTTTCTCCCCTTATAAAACCTCCTCCTTTTTTTTGTTTTCTTTTTTTATTATTAAAACTTTTTTAAATAAAATAATGCAAACCCATTTTTAATTAAAGAGATACACCTGGGCTTATCTTATGTTTGAACAAACTAATATACTCTGCTTTGCCCACAGCAGTTGGCTGGATCTCTCATCTACTGTAAGTTAGGGAAATAATCTTCTTAAATGCTATTAACTTCATTGGCAGTTGTTGCTGTATGAGGATCAGTGGTCTCCAAGTGTAGATGGTTCTGATTTAAATATTTTAAACGTGTGTCTACAGTACTTTTTGTTTTTGACTTCAAGAACCCAGCGTTAGTGGTACTCATTATAGGGATTTGGACACTGATTAAAAAAAAAGGATTTTTCCAAGTTCCCTGAATGCTTACCCGGAAGCCTAACTCAGCCATGTTTTTAGTTTTAGATTGAGTAAGAGTTATATTGTTTATTGCAAGACATGGTAAAAATACATAAAACATATGTCACAGTGATTTATACAGAAGTAAAGAGTTATGGAGTTTATCATAAATATAAATGTATCCTTCCCATACCACTATCCTTTTGATAGCTGAGAATTACAGTGGAGTAAGCATGGAATGCATCCTTGGGAGGCACATCTGTAATGATTCAATAAAAAAGAGTTGGAACATACTGTCATATCTAAATTAGATACTTTATCACAATAATAATATACAGTGCTTTGAAAAAAGTATTCATACCCCTTGAAATTTTCCATTTTTTGGCACGTTACAACCAAAAACGTAAATGTATTTTATTGGGATTTTATGTGATAGACCAACACAAAGTGGCAAATAGTTGTGAAGTGGAAGGAAAATGATAAATGTTTTTCAACATTATTACAAATAAATGTCTGAAAAGTGTAGCCTGCATCTGTATTCAGCCTCCTATACTCTGATACCCCTGACTAAAATCTAGTGAAACCAATTGACTTCAGAAGTCACCTAATTAGTAAATAGAGTCCACCTGTGTGTAAATTAATCTCATTTTAAATACAGCTGTTCTGTGAAACCCTCAGAGGTTTGTTAGAGAACATTAGTGAACAAACAGCATCATGAAGGCCAAGGAACACACCAGACAGGTCAGGGATAAAGTTTTGGAGAAGTTTAAAGCATGGTTTTGTTATAAAAAAAAAAAATATCCCAAGCTTTGAACATCTCACGAAGCACTGTTCAATCCATCATCCGAAAATGGAAAGGGTATGGCACAACTGCAAACCTACCAAGACATGGCCATCCACCTAAAGTGACAGGCCGGGCAAGGAGAGCATTAATCAGAGAAGCAGCCAAGAAGCCCATGGTAACTCTGGAGCAGTTGCAGAGATCCACAGCTCAGGTGGGAGAATCTTTTCACAGGACAACTATTAGTCATGCACTCCACAAATCTGGCCTTTCTGGAAGAGTGGCAAGAAGAAATCCATTGTTGAAAGAAAGCCATAAGAAGTCCCGTTTGCAATTTGTGGGGGACACAAAAAACATGTGGAAGAAGGTGCTCTGGTCAGATGAGACCAAAATTTTACTTTTTTGCCTAAAAGCAAAACTATGTATGGTGGAAAACTAACACTGCACATCACCCTGAACACACCATCCCCACCGTGAAATGTGGTGGCAGCTTAGTGTTGTGGGGGTGCTTTTCTTCAGCAAGGACAAGGAAGCTGGTCAGAGTTGATGGGAAGATGGATGGAGCCAAACACAGGGCAATCTTAGAAGAAAACATGTTAGTCTGCAAAAGACTTGAGACTGGGGCACAGGTTCACCTTCCAGCAGGACAACCACCCTAAACATACAGCCAGATCTACAATGGAATGGTTTAGATCAAAGCATATTCATGTGTTAGAATGGCCCAGTCAAAGTCCAGACCTAAATCCAATTGAGAATCTGTGGCAAGACTTGAGAATTGCTGTTCACAAATGCTCTTCATCCAATCTGACAGAGTTTGAGCTAATTTGCAATGAAAAATGGGCAAAAATGTCACTCTCTAGATGTGCAAAGCTGGTAGAGACATCCCCAAAAAGACTTGCAGCTGGAATTGCAGCAAAAGGTGGTTCTACAAAGTATTGACTCAGGGGTGGGCACGAATACAAATGCATGCCACACTTTTCAGATACTTGTTTGTAAAACATTTTGAAAACCATTGCTAATTTTTCCTGCCACTTCACAATTATGTGCCACTTTGTGTTGGTCTATCACATAAAATCCCAATAAAATACATTTACTTTTTTGGTTGTAACATGATAAAATGTGGAAAATTTCAAGAGGTATGAATACTTTTTCAATGCACTGTAAATAGCTCAAAAGAAGTCATGTGGAAAGGTTGCAAAAAATGAGAACCAAAAAAGACGGTCAAACTCCAATTTGTTAGAACCTTGGATCTATAAAACAATGGATGTGTACTTGTGTCATAGGTAGAGAGTAACTCAGCATTAGCTCAGTGTCAGTAAAAAATAGAAGGGAAAAGCTGACACATTACCTTTTATAGACGCAAGTTGGACATGCACAGTAATGGTAAATTGTATAAACAAGGGATACTAGATGGTAATGAAAAATTATTGGAGAGAATTCACCGTACTTTTTGTCCTAATAGGCAGTGAGGGGAAATCTCCCTAGTGGGGACACAGCCAAAAAGAAAATTCACAGAAAGTCTAACTTTCCTTTGTTCTTTCCAGAATAGAATGTTTTGTCTGGAGTTGGTCTTTAACCAAACATGCAAAGCTAAAGCTAGAAATCCTCCTCTAGCCGTAAATCTTAACATTGCCAAAACTAACCTCACCTATGGTGGCGTGCAGAGTTGCTTGCGCATACCTGCATCTCCCCACCTTGCCCAGTCCCTGCATTTGGTACCAAGCAGCCAGATATGAGTTCTTGTGACCTGCTATAAATGTCGCTGATCATGCACATGTACAGAGAAATGTTTTAGATGTCTCCAGACTAATTATTCTGAGTATTTGCTAGCTGAAAATAACATGAGGAAAATGTTGCTCAATTTTCACACTAATTATTTTCCCTTGTTTCTCCTCTCAGCTGTTTGAGCTTTTGAATTTTTTGGCAGAAAACTTCATCTTCTCCTACATGGGTCTGGCTCTGTTTACTTTCCAGAATCATATCTTCAATCCCACATTCATTGTTTTTGCTTTTGTATCTTTTTTTCAATACTTGTCTGTAATGTATTTGGTAATATGAGTCAAAGCTCTACTTTCTTAAGCTTACTTTGGATATCAAGTTGCATATGAAGACATTAAAAAAAGTCAGCAATTAGTTTGTATGTTACACGTCTGTGACAAACCGTGCCTTTGGATGTTTGTTTCTTACAGTTCTGCAGACAAAGATCCAAAAGTACAAATGTAACACCTATATGTGAATGTTATGTATTTATTATTTTAATATATATTATTTGTAGCTCTGTGACGCCACTTTAATTGTTTATCCACAACTCACGCTAACAGAACCACTGCTACAGGGCGGCTGGGCTGCACAAAATCACATATGTATATATACGTGATTTTGTATTTCCGGGTAGGGGGCACGCGAGAGCCCTACCTGCACCGCTGTTGGCGGCTACAGCTGTTGATCCCACGCTGGCACCTGGCAATTGCCGAGTATTACTGACGGGGGAGAGGTCTTTATGTAAACAATACAGATCTTTCCCTTGTCAGCTCCAGCACACTGTTTTGTATTACTCTGCATAGCAGAGCAATAGAAAGCTGAATGCTTACTCAGTAAAGCACAGCACACAGTAAAACACAAACCGCACACAGTTAACAGTTATTAGCACTGATCACTGTATTAGTGTCACTGGGGATGTCAGTGACAGTCAGTTCCCCCCCAGTGTTATAATGTCCGCCGCAGTCCCGCTATAAGTCGCTGATCGCCGCCATTACTAGTATAAAAAAAAAAAATAAATAAAAATTCCAGTATATTCCAGCCATTTTTAGATGCTATAACTTTCACATAGACCAATTAAATTATACGTATTGGGACTTTTTTTTTTCAGTAAAGACATGTAGCAGAATACATTTTGGCATAAGTTTATGACGAAATTCTGATTTTTTTTTTTTTTTTTTTAACTTTTTTTTTCCTGCCCAGACCAATTTTCACCTTTCAGCACTCTCATACGTGTGAATGACAATTGTGCAGTCTTGCGACACTGAACTCAAAGTAAATGTTTGTCATTTTTTAAAATACAAATAGATCTTTCTTTTGAAGGTGTTTTATCACCACTGGGGTGTTTATTTTTTGCTAAACAAACAAAAAAAGACCAAACATTTTGGAAAAAAAACCCACTTTTATTATAAAGTTTTGTAAATAAGTAATTTTTCTCCTTCACTGATGGGCACTGATAGGCTTCACTGATGGGCAGCACTGATAGGTGGCACTGATGGGCACTGCTTCAACTGATGCGCACTGATTGCCAGCACTGATGTGCACTGTTGGCCGCACTGATGGGGCTACACTGATCACCAGAACACTGATCAGTGCCCTGATGATCAGTGTAGATGTCCCCTGCGAAATGCCGCTTACTGGCTCTCCTCACGCGCTGCCAGCGTGAGGAGAGGACTGCAGATAACCGGCATTTCCCATTTACCTGTGATCAGCTGTGATTGGATACAGCTGGTCACATGGTAAAAGCAGCTGTGATTGGCCCGTTCCTCAGTCATGTGACCCACGCATGGGGTGTGGTTCTGGGAGGGTGTCCATGGATGTCCTCCCAGAACTAGCCGACCGCGCTGTAGCCGTCTTTTGGCTATAGCACGATTGGGAATTGGTTAATAAAATATTTCAAATGTACACCCACAGAACTTTACAAATTTGCAAGGAGTAACTGGATTTTGTTTAGTTTAAACTCAAATATTTTTCTAAGTTAAATAGTTAAAGGTTACTTTTTAAAAAATAACATGTTTTTTCCCTTTCCATCTAGTTGCACTCAATATTTAAAAACATTTCCTAGACATAATATTACAAATATCTAATAAAATATTCTAATTATATGCTATGTAAGCAATCAGATCATTCACAGATTTACAGAGAGCTCACTGATGGAGCTAGAAGATGTTTTTATTAGATTAGCATTCCCAGGTTTGTGATGTGACACAGGATGGATGGCAAAGCCTGTACTGAATGCTGTGTGACCTGGAACAGGAAGTTATCTTGTCTCTTTGACAAACAGGGACAAGCTCAGGGTGAATGAACATAGGGGAATCAATTAGTGATGTCACTACAAACTGCAGCCAGAACATGGGCACCAATAGTTACAAGGTAAAGCAAGCAATAGTTTTAAATGTTGTCAGGGTAAATAGTTTGGCTTCTTTCTGTATGTTATAATGCATATAAATTATGAATCAGCACTACAACACATCTCTGTGGTCTGTGCATAGCATTGTTCCTGTGCTCAAGAAATGAGCTGCTGCAGTGACACACACTGAATGCCTGTTGTAGCTGAAGTTATGGATGCTCTAACTCCATCTGTGCATTGGGCATTAAGATGGATCTGTTAAAGATGTATGTATTCATATGTGTCCATGAGCCCTTGCAGCTAAATTCTATTTGGATTTGCAGTTGTAAGTTGTGAAGTTTTTAGGATATTTCTACGATAATATATAACAAATTTTGTGTATGCAATTGGTTTCCTTAACACTTCCTCATAGCTTGCAGTCTTCCTTGGCAGAGCTGCTAATATTTATCCTCTCTCATTCTTGCTTAATCTGGGGAGAAGGAATAAGATTGGCTCAAACTTCCAGCACATGATGATGTTTGCAGGTATTTTGGATCTTCTTTAATTTGGTGTGCCTGCTGATAGCAAGGCTGTGTATTTTAAATGTGCTTGTTGATATCTAAAAGCTGTAACTAGTTTCATATATACATACATTACAGAAGCTACTCTGAAAGCTAGGAGGCTTTCCTTCACGTTGCATGGAGAATGTCTGTACATGAGTCATCTTCTAGAAGATATCTGAGGATTCCAGGTTTCACCTATAATTGTAGGGTTGTGTGCAGGGGCGGACTGACAACTCATGGGGCCCCCGGGCAATAGGGGATCATGGGGCCCCTGTGTCCTTGCCCAAACGCAAAAAAAAGCCTATGAAAAAGGTACCAGGGGCATCTCATGGGGCCCCCTACTGACCCCGGGCCCTCGGGCAGTGCCCGAGTTTCCAAATGGTCAGTCTGCCCCTGATTGTGTAGGAGTTAACATGAATGCTAAAGGATCACACTTGGAGAGTGTCCTCTGCCTGAAATCTATGCTGAAAGCAAAAGACCATTCCCTTTTTTTCCCTATAGAAAAGGAAGGCAGTCCTTTCAATGCACATGTTAATAGTTACAGGAAAACTGTATTGAGAGTTTCTAACCCTTACCTACTATGATCAGTCAAAAAAAAAAAAATGGACGTTTTATTCCAAGGAGTATCTTTTCTTTCCCCAAGCAGGACAAAGGAAAAGGTTCACCAACTCCCACCCCCTATCCCAAGCAGCATCTACCTGCCTTATCTTGCTTCCATGCCACTCCATTAAGCCTCTGCATTCAGAGAAATAAAGCCTTCTGTAAGCTCCAAACCAACTTGCAGAGTTTAGACCGAGTCATAGACTTCTTTCCTGGCCCCATGTAACAGAGCTAAGCCAATGAGGAGTCACTGGTCAATGGTCTTTTGCTTTCAGCATAGATTTTTATCAGGTAGAGGAGAGGATGCTTGTGTCACGTGTTCACCCATACCCGAAAGTGCTGGGAATTCTCTTTTTAAATTAATTTTTTTTCTACAATTCAAAAAAAAAATTACTATTTTTGTGATATGTATGTGCCTAATTGTTTTTGATTTTTAAAAAAATCAGTGCCACTTGTGTGATTTCAGGTTTACGTGGAGCAATGGCATTTGCTTTGTCTATTCGAGACACTGCAACATTTGCCCGACAGATGATGTTTTCTACCACACTTCTCATAGTGTTTTTTACAGTCTGGGTATTTGGAGGTGGTACCACTGCTATGCTCTCCTGCTTACATATTCGGTAAGGACATTCTGATGCTGAAACCATTGAAGGTACCTTGTTGCAGTTAATTTGCTATATGGTTAAAATAATTTTGGAAATATAATTTGAATAGTAAATTAAACACAGCTGTGAAAGTAGCACTGTCTGTTTCTTCTAGCACAGTAGTAGGTTGTACTGTTCAGATGTCTTATTCCTGTTTTTTAAATGTCCATGATCTGATTATTTTGAAAACATTTTAGCATTTAATGCTATCAACAAATGTATTCTCATTTTTGTCCACCAGATGTCACTTTGTTTCTATTAGCACGTTGTGTTTTCATGTAACACTAGTGTTGCCCACACTTCTGAGTAATTGGAAACTGCTAGTTCCTGTAACTTTATTTGAAAAATGTGTTTGACAAAGTGGTGTAGAGCTGCACAGACAGATTCTTGTGCAGCAGAGTTTTTATGGAAATCTGAATGTCATGATTATAAAACACAATGGGGCATGAGTATATGAAAGTTGCACAATCTGTATTTTTGTCCCATATGGCGTAATACACAAAATCTAAGTCTCTAAGCAAATTGTTTGCTTGCTGTGGAACATTGCAGATGTTTTGTATGTATAAATACACAATATGATGCAATATATTAAAAAACCTCTTTAAAGCTGAACTGAAAACAAACCTCTAAATACACAGATGGAGCTGTTTTACCTGCTAAATTATTTATTTTTCAGTTTTTCGTTCTTGAGATTTACACAGTTCTGCAACACAGCTCAGCCCTGTCTGGCAGGGAAGAAGACCTGATCTTTCCCTGCTGCAGTTTTACTTACAGGTCTCCTCCCAACTCCCACCCAATGACTGGGCAGTAAAAAGAGAAGTGGCATATTGATGAGCTCCTCTCCTAATCTCCTACTGCCAGCATGCTCCTTGTGCTACAGCACACCTAAGGCCCCTTTCACACAAGCGGACTGATCGGATCTGCTTGTTCGTTTTTAAGGCGGACCTGATTAGACCACCCATTGTTCTCTATGGGGAGGTGGATGTAAACGGACATGCGTCCATTTACACCCCCCCCTGCATCCGATGTGGTCCGCCAAAAAATGGATGGGGATACGTTCACCATCCGTCGACCGGATCGGAGAACAGTTGAATGTAATCGAATAGGCGGTCAGTTTACATCCGACCACCCCGTAGAGAACAGTGGGCTGTGTCCGTGTCTGCTTTGCACAAGAGGAGCAGTATTGTCCCCATATGGCATAATACACAAAATATAAATCTTCTGTGGCTAAGCAAATTGTTTGCTTGCTGTGGAACATTGCAGATGTTTTGCATGTATAAATACACAAAATGATGCAATATATTAAAAAACTTCTTTAAAGCTGAACTGAAGACAAACCTCTAAATACACAGAAGGAGCTGTTTTACCTGCTAAATTATTTATTTTTCAGTTCTTCAGTCTTGAAATTTACACAGTTCTGCCACACAGCACAGCCCTGTCTGGCGGGAAAGAAGACCTGATCTTTCCCTGCTGCAGTTTTACTTCCAGGTCTCCTCCCAACTCCCACCCAATGACTGGGCAGTAAAAAGCGAAGCGGCATACTGATGAGCTCATCTCTTGATCTTCTACTGCCAGCATGCTCCTTATGCTGCAGCACACCTAAGGCCCCTTTTCACGTGAGTGGCCTGATCGGATCTGCTTGTTCGTTTTTAAGGCAGACCCGATTGTACCACCCATTGTTCTCTATGGGGAGGTGGATGTAAACGGACATGGGTCCGTTTACACCTCCCTGCATCTAATGCGGTCCACCAAAAATGGATGGGGATACGTTCATCATCTGTCAGAGAACAGTTGGATGTAAAGGGACAGGCGGTCTGTTTACATCCAACTGCACCATAGAGAACAGTAGGCTGTGCCCGCTGTGCACAAGAGGAGCAGACACGGACCTGTCATCTGCCTGCTCAGCGGGGATCAGTGAACAGATTCTCTGCTAAGCAGGCGGACCCGCTTGATGGAGTCCGCCCCAGGTGAAAGGGGCCTAATTTGGCTCTTTTTGCTGTTTCTCTCTCTCTCCTAGCAGTCCCTGCTGTACAGGGACTGCAAGAAGCTGATACCAAGTTAAATTCAGATGCTTACCCTGCTTGTATTTACAAAAAAAAAAAAAATTTAATTAGCTAATACTACTTTCAGAGCTGTATCCATTCGTGTCTTTTATATTTGCTGGGAGTTCAGCCTTAATTATATCTTTTTTTCTTTTATTACATTAGTCAGGCATTAACATCAAAAGTCCTTTAAACCAGTGTACTGTATGTGAATTAAGTTCAACGTTTGTTTGCAAGGTTGCAAGGGTTTTCTGAGACTTCTTAAATTGACACTAAGCAATATCCTTAGTCTCCAAAAGGAATCCATACACATCCAGTACTAAATGGCCCTGTAATCCATTTTTCATGAAATCGTTTCTTAGTGAGCACAGGGAGAGCCATACACACACAGCCCAGCTTGGGATTGCTCATGCATGGGTGCCTTCTTAGCACCTGGCTTGCTGAGGAGGCACCCTAAGGAGGAAGGAGCAGATCGTGCCACTGGTGACCTGCCAAAGAGGAGGTAAGGGACCACTTTGTGCAATATTGTTGCACTGAGCTGGCAAGTATTTCTTCTTATTTTATTAAAAAAAAACAAAAAACAAACTATGGCTTTTTAATATCATGATAAAGCCTCCTGCACACAGAGCTTAAAAAAAGCCACTTTTACAGGTGTTGAGTGTTTTTTGAGCATATTTTTTAAGCAGCATTTTCCTGCCAGAAGTGCTAGCATTCCAGGAGGATTTTACAGGTGCCCCGTGTACATGAGGCCTAAAGACATCATACTCACAAAGTGTTGAAAGCGGAGCTCCACACAAAAGGGGAAGTTACGCTTTAAGCCTTTGTCCCCCGCTCCCCATTAAGGATTGCCACCTTTGGGGACAGGTCCCAGAAGACTACAGGGCCATTTACAAAGCTCAGCTCTTCTCACGCATGCACAGTGGGCACCCAGCTGTGAAGCCTTAAGCTGCCACAGCCGGGTGCCCACACTGAAGATGCCAGCGCCAGGGAGAGAAGATGGCCAGTGAAATCAGTGGTGGTGAAGACACTGCTGGACCAAGGGACAGGTAATTGGCTGTATTTTAAATGTCAGCAGCTACAGTTTTTGTAGCTGCTGACTTTTTTATTTTTTTTTTTAGGTAGAACTCCGCTTTACCTCAGTATTCAGGAGAAACCATCTGCTGTAAATGTTGCACTACTCCAAAAACTCCCTTATCACAAATCCAGTGTATGCAGACCACATTCATGTGTGTATCAGTGTTTGCCTAGCCCCATCCAACGCATGACATCAGATGTCCACGGGCGCGGACAAATCTGGAAACTGGTTGCTTTGATAGACATATTCCAGGGCTGTATTTTTCTTATATTGTTCAGCTTTATAACATTTAGCATATACAGTCTTCAAAGCATTTACATGACCTTTTTTGTTTTCATTTTCTTTTGTAGAGTTGGGGTTGATTCAGACATTGACCAACTGGTAAGTATTAATGTCTCGTACTCAGGATTTTTTAAAAATGTTTTTAAAATGTTATTTCCTTTTACTTGTACCAGTGCCATTCATATCCCCTTTTAATTGACAGTAGTAATATATTCACGTTTTTTTTTTTCTGTTTTTTTTTTTTTTTTTAAATATACTTTGTGCAAGACCATCATATTCTGTAGCACTTTACAATCAGAACATGTTCAGTATCTATTTAGGTAAATGGGCCCTATTGTCTGTATGTGAAGGGTTTAATTAATGCATGATTTGGCAACGTTTCTAGATCAAAAGACCCTAGGACCCCATTTATCAGTGTACCTGGAAAAAAGTTTTCCAAAACAACTAATTGGAATCCTCCCTTACAGGTTAAAGCTAAAAGGCATAAGTAGAAATGCTTTTTTTGTGTGACAATGCACATTTGTGGTCACATAGACTTCATTAGGGGCCCCTGGAAAATGTATAAAAATGCATGAAAAAACTTAACAATGCATGAAAATGTAGACGCACAAGTGTGAACCTAGCCTAAAGAGCATTCCAGTTTGTAATTAGTAGGAAGCTATCAAGAGGTGTGGTCATAAGTGTTGCAATTCCTTATAAATATGCTGTTTATGAAGCAGTAGGCAGCTAGAATTTTCAGTGGTGTGAAATGGAAGCCTAAATGACTATCTTATGAGAAGTGCAACTAAGCCCTGATTTAAGTCATTTGAGCAACAGATAGTTATCTAATGTGAAACAAGAGATCTTGGTTCAGGGGTCTCCAAACTGTAGTCCAGATGCAGCCCTTTGCTTGCCTGTATATGCCCCTTGGGGCACTGTTCTTCCCACTGATATGAGGTACTATTCCTTCCATTGATACAAACCTCTGCTGCTCCCTCTGATACCAACAATGAGGCTTGTTTCCTCCTGCTGACACCTACAGTGGGGATCTATTCCTCCCACTGATACCAATGATGGGGCCTTTTTCCTTCCACTGACACTAGTGATGGGGCGCTATTCCTTCCACTGACACCAGCAATGGGGCATAATTCCCCCCACTGATATAAACGATTGAGTGCTATACCTCTTAGTGACACCAACGATGGGGCACTATTCTTCCAACTAATGCCAATGATAGGGCAGTATTCCTTCCACTGACACTAGTGATGGGGTATTATTCCTTCCACTGACTCCAACAATGAGGTATATTTCCTCCCACTGATATAAATGAGCACTATACCTCTTGGTGATACCAGCGATGGGGCACTATTCTTCCAACTTATGCCAATGATGGGGCAGTATTCCTCCTCCCACTGACAACAGGCACTATAATGTTTTTATGCCCACTGACCACCAAGGCTAATATATTGTTTACTCCAACTGATGCTGGGGCACTTTTTTCTCAATTGTTACAGTCCGGCCCTGCTAAATTCTGGGGGGGCAGTAAACTGGCCCTTTATTTAGAAAGTTTGAAGACCCCCTGATCTAGAACATACATTTTTAAAAGTAGATGGTGGATGGAGCAGATGGCGGACTTTTCAACCAATAATCAGTGTTTTTTCTCTAGCATTTTCCTTGAGATCCATGCAGAGAGGATTAGCTTCGGTTATTATTAATGCGTCTTGTTTAACGTATCATATTCTCGCTAGGCTTAAAAAAAAAGAAGCACCTATTTAAGCAGCAGAGGCATATACAGTAAAACTTTTGTGGCTTTGGAAAATGAACTACAATCGAAAATATTCACTGTTAAAAAAGGATTAACTTAACTTATGATGTAATTCTGCAACAATTTGACCATTTGATGTAAACTGCGTGTCTGGATATATTTGTGTGGGTGGTAGTCTGTCTGAGCATAGCATGTGCCTCCATGTTGCTGTGGAATCAAATGGCAGTGAACACCAGCCGGGTCTTGTCATCTGATATGGATTAGAATAGTTTACATCTATTTTATCTCTGAATTCCAGGGAATGTTTTTCATAGTTGTCTATTAACTTCACAAGGAACAAGAGTGTGATATGTCTGCCAGGGAAAGGAAGTTTTTATCTGCTATCAAATCCATAAATATCTGTATTCTGTATTCCTCAATCTCCTCTGTTCTATTTTCTATTAGACAGCAAAATACTTAACCTACTTTTATTTCCAATAGTCTAATAAAAACAGAGGTCATAGTTTGCTTACATTTTCAGAGATAGTGTAGATGTAAGCAGATGAAGTATTTATCCTACATTTTATAGTGACAGCATATAAATTAAAATTGGATTTCTTTTTTAATTTTACTATGCAGTTTTTGCTATATAGATGAGTTGGTTGCATGTGTTTCCTGAGTCATTACTTGACAGGACTACTTTTTGGATGCTATTTGGCAGCACTTCTGGTTTTTGTTGTAGTTCTTTTGTTGTACCAGTTTTGCAACTCCAGATTCTACAAGGTTTTCTCATTTCTATTCAAATTACTTAGTTTGGATGGGATCATTGACGAACAATTGCTTTCAAGTCTTGGTACAGCTTCTCAGTTAGACTGGGGTCTGAGCTTTCATTGGACTATTAGGTATTAGGCTTTAGGTGTGTATTTAGAGTCATTGTGAACAAAGTCAAAACTGGTTTAGCACAATCACGATACAAAATTAAACAGGTAATTGATACCACAACCTGGTGCTGTAAATCATAGTTGTGTCACCAGGGTAAAATGTGGTCCACCATAGTGTGAATTGGCCGCTCACCTCAAATGTAGACCTATATTCACATACAAATGCACTTGAAATATGTCTTCTCAATCTGGTTAACTGATTTTTCCCCTTTTACTGTGCTTTTCATTCAGATGGTAAGGATACTCTTTGCCATCTGAATGAGACTCCAATCCCCAATTCCCAACTCCTATCCCTGAAAGTCTCGTGCTCTTGTGGTGCAATGCATTGGAGGACAGAGCTGGGTGATGTCACTGCCAGTCACGACCGAGACTGGTTGAAGGTACTGAATCTCAGTGTTGAAACGCAGATAAGCTACTAATGATTTTATATATGTGTGTGATACTTTTATTCAATAAATCTTACCTATACTGTTACACTATGGGCGCCTTCTCTTTACTATCTTCCCTGTGCAGTAAGAGGGGAAAGTCAGGTATCCAGATTGAGGAGCCATATTTCAAGCACATTTTACCTGTATGTGAATATGAATTTATATTTGAGGTGAGCAGCCAATTCACACTATGGTGGACCACATTTTCCCTGGTGAAACAATTGGTGATACCTTTCTGGGATCAAGCTAACCATTCGCACGGACTGATGTGGACTGATTGCAGTTTTCAGTTTTTATATTGGGTGATAGCACAACTTTTCATGCACCTATGGATGTTTATTAAGTGGGAATCACCTGTGACCATAAACTCTTTACACTTATTGATGTTGTTTTTTTCCCACTTATATAATAATGCAGATCATCAATTGCAATTTACTGGCATTGTTATGATTAAATTGTATTTACATGGCACAGTATATATGTATTATATTTATGTATTTATGAATTACAGCAATAGTTTGTGCTATCAATTACCTATTTAATTTTGTATCAGGAATGCCCTACACCAATTTTGACTTTGTTCACGTTGGTTATTATGATGTGTTACACAGGTAGGTGTCAGCAGTAGTCCCTAGCACATATACATATTTTTCCACACCTTTATTTCTTAGTGGCAGCGCATACATTTTTTGTTCACATTTACATTTAGAGTCCTTGTCCTGCTGAAAGGTGAGCCTCTGGCCAAGTCTTGGGTCTTTAGAATTCACTCTAGAATCACCCTGTAATTTACACTATCTAGCTTTCCCTTGGTTCGCACCAGTTTTTAATGTCCTGTTTATGTACAGAATGTATCACTGTGCATCACCATGAAGACATGGTTCTTGGGGTACATTTGTTCTGTGTGAACGGGGCAAAAAATACATGTTATTGAGTTATTTCCTGTGCTGGATGTATGTTTTTCACTGATTTTAAAATCGAAGATACTGCACATGGCCACTAGATGCAGAAGATGATGCAGCAGATTACAAAGTTTGTTTTTTCTTTTTTATGCCATGGCATTCTTTAGTACTGTATATTGCTTTTAAGGGCTAAAGATGATGACGATGTAACATTTTGTTGTAATGGATGCCTTTATTCTTGTTATAGGGAGTTCCAGAGGGTGAACGAAGGAGTACAAAAGCAGAGAGTGCCTGGCTATTCAGACTGTGGTACAACTTTGATCACAAGTATCCTTAAACTTTTGCTTTGCTTCAGTGACCTTTGTGCTAAGCACTTGAGTGTTTCATTATCTGAATCATCCATATCTTTTCTCAGGAACAAACGAGAACATTGTAAAGTGACATTCACCAAAGAATCACAAATATTTCTCATATCAGTTTCCTTAATGTTAACACCTTTAAAATTCATAATAGTGTGCATTAACGCATGCAATAATTTAGCACCAAAAATACATAATACTGCTTGTGCATAGATATAAAATTTCTTTAAAATTTGCACATAACTTTGCTATGCAGTGAAAGACATGCCAGTTTTTGTACATCTTTCAATTAGCTGCTGTGCTTCTATTTATTTTTTCATTGAAACAACATGAATCTCTCTCGCCCATGCCAAGGTATACAGATAATTCTCTTGCTACATGCACTGCCGAACACCGCTGTAATGTAGGGAAATCACTGACCAAAGAGTCTGACAACAAGCTTCTGCACTACTGCTTCCTAGCCGCCCGCCCCCACCACCCCACTGCGATTGTGGTTTCTCCAAATGACCTCTGTCATTACTGTGCACATAGGGGCTCAATATTTCTGCTGCTGTATACATTAATCTTAGGCTAATTTTTGCAGGAAATGAGAGCTTGATTGACAAGATGGGGTTTGGACATTGAAAAGGATAATACAAAATGTAAAGAGTGAATCAGTAACTGCACACATTTTATATAAAATAGCAGTAAGTAATAAACATTTAAGCTTGTTTGTAGTGTCTACGTTGCCACAACAACTCTAGGAATTGTCAAATATTAGTTTGAGTACTTTTTCACCTCAGTGATGCAGTGTAAGTGTTTTTCCTTATCATGTATAGCTATCTAAAACCTCTGTTAACACACAGTGGACCACCCCTCACTACAACACTTCCAAGTTGCTGTGGTCCAATTGCAAGATGTCTAACAAGTCCACAGGCCTATGAGGTAAGGCATTTATTTGTTGTTTTCACTGTACCTCCCTTATACAAGAAACTAGTGTTCATCATTCGTCTATCATTAACAAATAGTGCTTCAATTACAAGTGATTTTATTGCCTTGATCCTCCTCTTCTTAGGTTCTCCGCCAGCGCTCCTTGCCCCTCCTTCCTGCCAAGTGCACCCATAGAAAACAACTTGCTATGGGGGTACCCAAGCAAGCTTCATCCCAGCCACTCGCTACCCTCATTGGCTCACTTGCTGTGATTGACAGCAGTGGGAGCCAATGGCTCCCTCCGCTGTCTCAGCCAATCAGGAGGGAGGTTCCCAGAGAATCGAGACTCATCGCTGGATTGCAGTGGGGCTCAGGTAAGTATTGGAGGGGCTGTTGCACACAGAATGTTTTTTACTTCCATGCATAGAATGCATGAAGGTTAAAAAACCTTGAGCCTTTACAATCACTTTAAATAATAGTCAAACAGTCAACGCACAGTAAGCTTGAACAGTTTTACCTGTCGATGGATTATTAATTCTGTTTTCAGCTTTATTTTCCCAATTTTGACTGTACACAGCCAGAAAGCTATTTGTCTGGCATTCTGTTTCTAAGGTGTATCCAACCTCCCCCCCCCAAAAAAAAAGTAAAATAATACACACATTTGGGCCCCTGTTGTCTTCCATTCTGTCACTTGGAAACCTGATTGTTAAATCTGTGGTAAAGATTTGTGCAAGGGTTGTGCATTTTATAGACATGAGCCTTGTCCCTACTGAAGTACAGCAAACTTAGATTGAATAGGGGGATTGAAGCTCTGTGGGTTCTGCTAGCATTATGTTCTAAATGTAATGTTTTTAGATGCCTGTTTAGCAGTATTATTATTGGTCACCACATGCCTCTACTGTGCCAACCTGCTGACACCACTGCAGACTCCCAGCTGTAAAACCTACCCTGGGGAAATGTCAGATTATTCTTACTAACCTACATAAACAAGTGGCTCAGGTGGCCTTTCTCCAGGAAACGCACTTTCCTGCCCACCAAATCCCTTTGATGAAAGTTTGATACTTCACTACTACTTTGCATTCTGGCTCCCTAATCAATAAGAGTGAGCATTTTCTTCATCCATACAATCTCTTGGGTACTCACTGACAATTGTAAAGATAATGAGGCTTGCTGCCTCTTCCATTAAAGGCCATATCTGTACTCAAAAAGTGACCTTAGCAAGTGTCTACCTGCCCAACCAGAATCACATACAATTATTAGAATCGGTGCTTGAGACCAAGGCCAACTTTTTGGAAAAGTTACTTATTAACTTATTCAACCAGGATTTGGGGTGGTTTCAGATTCATACTAGATCAGGGGTTGGCAACCCCCAGTATGCGTGCCAGACCTGGCAGGCAGCTGCATTTATGATGGCATGCAAGGGAAGCCTGGGACACCCACATCAGCAAAGTTCATTCTTCTTGCCTGTATTTAGCCGACACTGAGTGCTGAGGTGAGCACGGACGGATCCCATGGAAGCTGTGTCTGCACGGGTTGGTAGGCACCTCCTCCCATCCTTGGAGTGCACGCAGCCTCTTCAGTGGACATGTAGTGTAGCTGTTCCTCCCCACACTGCTAAGATCACATTATTTTACAAACACATCCTTAATCTGCACAGTATGACTGTAGCGGACTGTTGCAGTTCTTAGATTGGAAAAGCAGCATAGCTACAACAGCAGTTACACACTGTGCAGCTCTGGGATATTTTTGTAAAAGAATCTGATCTCAGCTGTGTGCAATGTGGGAAGGAGCAGCTCTGTTGAGTGCCCTTCCAGCAGTGTCCCCATCCTCTGCCTTGTTTACCCCATCCTATGCTCTGATGCCCCATCCTATGTCTTACTGACCCCCTGTCCTGTGCCCTGCGGACCCTGTCCCATATTCTGCTGACCTTTGTCCTCTACCCTGCAGACTCTGTCCTGTGCACTTTAGACACTGTCCTATTCCCTACAGATGCCTTTCCTCTGCCCTGCAGACCCCTGTTCTATGCCCTTCTGACCTTCCATCCTCTGCCCTGCTGGCCTGTGTACACACTGCCTTACAAACTGCTGACACTATCCGTTGCCCTGCTGACAAACTAATCCTCTGCCCCCCAACAATTATACTGCACCTCCATATTAGACAGACTAGGTCCGGTTGTGGAGTTGAGACGCCCCAAGCTGCCTGCTGTCATTTTGGACTGGTAATAAACTAGCTATTGGAAACTACTAATTTTGAATGCAGGAATTGGGACAGATCAGAGGTGTGAAGGTGCAGGAATTGGGGTGATCTGATAAGTAGTGATACAGGAATTGGGGCTGATCTGAGGTGTGAAGGTGCAGGAAGTGGGGTGATCTGTGGTGTGAAAGGTGAAGGAATTGGGTCTGATCTGAGGTGGGAAGGTGCGGGAATTGGGGCTAATCTGAGTTGGGAAGGTGCAGAAGTTGGGGCTAATTTGAGGTGGGAAGATGCAGGAATTGGGCTGATCTGAGGTGTGAAGGTGCAGGGATTGGGGTGATCTGAGGTGTGAAGGTGCAAGAATTCGGAGGAACTGAGCTGATCTGAGGTGTAAAGGTGCAAAGCTCAGTATTCATTTCTTACTATTATTCTAGTTTACAGCATTTCCTTAATAAAAATTCCTTTTTTCGTGATTGAGAGTGTAAAGTTGACTTTTTTTATGTAGCTGGCACTCTTAATTTCTTTGAACCTTCATCTGGACTCAACCAGTACAACCTTTGCTACAAATTATGACACTGGTAATATTGGTCTGTCCAATCTTGCCAGTTGCCATTGACGCACAGTTTCACTCTTTCTGTGCCAACACCAACTCAAATACTGTACCTTTATACTGTGCGGAAAGCACACAAGTCATTTATGCATTTATGAGAAGGATACTCCTCAAACATGACTCACACCTTAAAAGAACAAACGTATCAATGCGTATCTGACCTTCTACTCCAAATGAATAAACTGGAAACCCTCCACATTAAAAAAAAAAAAAAAAAAAAAAAAATCTGTTGAATTAACCTCCCACCAACTAAAAATGATTTGCCTCGACAGTGCCAAGGCTATCTTGACCAAATGCAGCGTAGCTTTTATGAATATGGGAACCATACATCCCTGGACAACACCATCCTGATGGCAAAAAGCAAAAGCTTTTATTCCTGCTATCGCCTCTAGAGTGGTTATGCAAACCTCAGTTTGTTCAGACTATTGTACAATACAGCTTGACCACTTCCTATACAGGAGAACTGGTATTGGAAGGTTTTTACCTTCATGTTGAGAATGCATTAAGGTAAAAGTAATCTTTTGTCTTTAGAACCACTTGCACTACTTCAAACATTATCAATCACAGCTGGCATCCCATTTTTGTGGCCTTTTTCAATCTGACAAAACTTTCTTCACCTTACTGCTTTAGCAGCCCATATCTCTGTTATAGCTAAAGAAGGGAAAGATCCTCAACGCTGCTTCAATTCTAAATCTATATCCTTGCTAGGAATTGATCTGAAGTTATACGCCATGGACCTCTTCTTTGACATACATTGTATAATTTCCTGATGTTGTTTTTTAAATTTAAAGAATGCATAAAAAAAAAAACAATTGCATCTCATCAGACCTTAGATGTTTTGGTTGCATTGGATTTCAGGTTTGTTCCTCTATATTTTCACCTGGCAATCCTGGCAGTTGCACACTTTCTGTCCTAGGGTGACAACACTCATTTACCGTACTGTGTGGAGGAGCAACTTTGTCACCTTAGGACAGAATTATAGAATATCTACACCTATGCTCATATCCAAAAACTAGAGCAAGGTATACTGTAGTTCACCTAGAGAGCTTCGAAAAATGTAATGACAGAATTAAATGCTGCAGAGAGTAGCTTGAACTCACTCTCTGCAACATTCCCTTGCAAGTCCAGGGCAATGTGTATTGCCTGACACCCTCGACTCACAAGAAGTTGGTTGAATGATTTAACCTGGAAGAGGAGCGGCAGTGGATCAGTGATTGTGCACTGGAAATCGGGTCAGTGTAGCAGCAAGAGGCGCTTTTCAATGTTAAGTGCGCTGCCAAGGACTGAACATTCTTATTTACAGCTCAAGCTAGAGTTGGATTTTAATTAACATAATTAATTAATTTAATTCATATCTCTTGTAGAACCAAGAACAGTTAAAAGATGACGACTCTGACCTCATATTAAATGACGGTGACATAAGCTTAACGTACGGTGACACAACAGTGAGTACAGAATCTGTAGCATCAAGACGAGGTGTTGGGAACAGCACAGAGGATGGAATAGATCGAGAGTTAACCTGCGGGGATCATGAACTTGTCTTAAGAGGAACGCGTCTAGTCATGGATGAGTGTGAAGTGCCAGGAAACCTGCAAGTTACCAGGAGGCCAAGTCCAATGTAGATTTTTGTCTTTGCATTTTTCATGGGGAAAGGGTTGTACTGTAACATTTTTGTGTTTTTTTAATTATGCCGGTATGTTGTACTACCTACTGCATGGCTCTGATTGTCTGAGCTGTATAAACGCTATTCAAATAGCATCAGAAATGAATCCTATATTTTGATGCTGCTTGTGAAGATCACATTTTGTTTTTGGAAACTCGTCTGATTGCACTTTAAGTGAAGCCGTTCAACAAAGTGTAGTGATCACACACGATGCTGTATGGCGGATATAACAACCCTCCCAGCTTGTTATGTGAAAATAATTGCCAATATTTTATTTTGTTACTTGAAACATTACTTGGGTTTAATTTATATGTCAACTTTTGACTGTTATTTGAAGGAATTTGTTATATACTTTTTATTATAATCTTCACTTCTATTTCAGCATTATGTTGAAGAGCAAGGTGTTGCCTCTCCTATTTTCTGCAGCTGTCTCAGATATAATATAGCAGATAAAATGAATGTTTCATTTAGGGTGTGGTAAGAGGGCAAACAATTCCATACAGCCTGTGCTGCTTCGGTGCATACTAAAATAAAATGCCAGAAGAAGCCATATAATTGTGATCATGGTGGATCACTGTTGATCATTTGGGCTTAGGCGTGGAGATACTAAACAGTCATGTTTAAATGTAGTGACATGATATTCGTTTCAGTTGTGCTGGTTATGTCATGAGAAGTGATGCCAGTTAGGACCGATTTGGAATAAATGGAGTGGTGCTCTGTGAGCCTTTGATGTTAACAGACTGGCAGGGTGGCAAGAGGGTATGCTAATGACATGCACCCTCTGCAGTCTGTGTGCACTATTTTTGGTGGGTAGAATGTTAAAATTACTTTTTTGCAGTTGTGGAACCTAAATGTCTAGCATTCATACTCCTCAAGTTCTCCTGCAGAATGCAGACTACACTCTGGCCCTCCTTAGCAGATGATTTCCTGTAAACCTTTGTAAGAAGTCTACTGGAAACACGGGGGAAACTTCTCAGTAAAAGATGTTTAGATGGCTCAATCTGGGGGTAGGATGCCAGCTTAAGCTAGGCATATATGGCACAATTTTTCTCTCATTCAGCACATGGCCTGAAGGAGAAAAAAAATGTTTGATTTCCCCATCCACAATAAACTGTGGATGGAGGAATCTCCACTGCCAGCTATTGTATCCAGAAGCAGTGGCTCCCACGGCTAATTAAATACAGGGGTGATGCCAAACAGTGGCTGCATCTGATAGGATACGGTCATTGTTTCAACTTATAAATTTCCACCCACCTCAGTTGATTTTTAAATTGACTTTTGACAAGGGGGGTAGTGCTTGCAGGGCCACCCAAGGCTCAAATTTCAGATGATTCAGCAGTCACCAGCCGAAATTTGTACTACCTATGGCCAGCCTTCAAATAATTCCCTGCAATTCTCTTTTAAAACATTGTTTATTGCCATGTTCTTTGTGCTATGGCCTCAGTAAACTTCATAACCAAACATTGGATGCTTTCTCTTTCAAAATAATCAAGTCAGAATTTATATAAGATTTGTTTTAAAAAAAAACAAAAAAACCCTGTGTCAGTAGAAAAGACATATTCTAATATTTGGAGCCAAACGTTATGAGACTTTCAATGCCAGAGTTAATTTTTAAGTGTGCATTCCACAGAGAATGTTGCAACACCACATAACCACTTCCAAACTCCATTTTTATTCCCAAAGACATAATTTTCTTTAAAAGTACAAATCTGAAAAGCAATGTATTATTCTTACAATGAAATTTAGAATATGTATTGTCATCAGGCCCTATTCTTTTAAGCTATTAAAGAGAAGAAGTAGCCACAAGTTACTTAAAGTAGAATTCCATCCTAACACTAAAGCCAGCCAGGTTCAGGGAGGTCTAGCCACATTTTGATCCATGTACTTTATGGGCAGGCTGGTTGTACAGATGTCAATCTACCGATCGACTTCTGTGCAAGCAGCCAGTCGGGGTTTTTTGTTTAGACTAGTTTATGCTAGGCTAGAATTCTAATTTAAACTGATTCTCTGAGATCCCATGGTATGGTTGATCATATGACCAAGAACTAAGGTCCTGTGGTCCTTGCTGAAGTGGAGATCAGAGTTTAGCTTGGCTGATTCTCCTCTATAGCAGTGTTCACATGTAATGCCAATAGTTAGGGCTGAATTTCCTGAGCAGTATTATATTGTATTGTTTCCCAAAGATATGACAGATTATGCATTAGTTTTGTCTTTTGGAAATGGGTGCTGTTTTAAGTATGTGTTTCAGCACCAAAAATTTACTCCCATATATTTTTAGGCATCCGTAACTGTTACTGCTGGTGATGTTTCCGTAATGCTGTTTAAATCTAAGAAACTATTTACTATCCCCTAAATCTGAATCCTTTCAGCTCATCTCTTACAGGGAACCTGTGAGAAAAGAAAAAGCTGTCTGTTGGCTTTCTTTTGAACTGTCATCCTTTTAAAATTGCTTGGCTACTTAAAGTATAAGTTCACCTTTTGTAACATATACACACACAGCCATTCACTGGGAAGACCAGTGTTCTGCTGCATCTTCTCCCTCACCTCTTTATGCAGTTGAGAACAGAGATTTTGAACATTTCTACAAAAGGGAAAAAAAAAAGTATTTTTATTGTGTGTGTTTTTTTTTTTATATCCATACACAAATGTTTTGCCTATTTCTATTTTAACCTGAAAGGGTTGTTTTTCAAGGTGAGCATTTACATATTCATTAAGCTGGCCATACACTAGTAGATTTTCAAACAAACATTTGTATGAAAATTCTCAGGTCATATGATGGCTTGATGAAGGTTGAAAGTACTTCAAAATGTTAAATTATTAAATGTACTTGGCCTGGATACAGGTTCACTTTTTGAACCTACACTGCATCAAAAATAAGGGGCACATTAAAAAAGTGATGGTGTGGCTGCACCATTACTATACGCACTGCGCACATTTATAAAGCACATCAGTGTTCTGTACAGGGATGCTCAGAGCCCCTGCTTTGGGACTCCAAAGCCAGCAGCGAGTACTGTGAACAAAAAAAGAAAGTCATTAACTGTCACTCCATCAATCAGAGCTTTTTCTGCTCCATTCAGCAGAAAGAATTCCATGGGACTTCACCAGCTACACACCTCGCCCGTACACACAATAAGAAAACCTGACAAATATTTCTACAAGAGGAATAATCAGTTGATAATCTGTTTGTTAGTATAGTGCTTTCGACAGCCGATTCCAGCTGTCTTGGATGAAAAAAAAAAAACAAAGGTGTAAGCTAGAGAATTTTTCTGGTTCGGTGGCATAACATCCGATTTTTGTTCAATGTGTGTACAGTAATCGTACAGAAATAATTGAATAGAAAATACCATGCATGATCGGAAACAAAGAATGACCTGGAAGTAGATAGCAAAGAAAATTAAAAATTGTACACTTTCAAATTCTGGATCATTAAACTACAAACAGTGAACAGTAGTAGCATATTTTTTTCTGTGATAATCATGCTAAATTAGTACGTAGATACATTTGCCTTTGTCATTTGTGAATTATCGTACAAGCTAATATTCCCGGTTTCATCGTGATATACCTTCGTGGAAAATCAGATGACCGTTCATTTTCTCATAGTGTATACTAGGCTTTAGTTTTTATGATGGAGAGTGGATAGTGATATCCATTCTTCATTAAAAATGAGCACCATTATGTTCTAATCTATCTGATCTAAAATGTAAGTGAGCACCAATATGTTCTAATCTATCTGATCTAAAATGGAAGTGATCACCAATATGTTCTAATCTATCTGATCTAAAATGTAAGTGAGCACTAATATGTTCAAATCTATCTGATCTAAAATGCAAGTTTCTAATACTGCACTCTATTAAATACAGTATTTTGTTTTTCTGTCTGTCCTTGTTAGAGAGATCTTCACTTTCCTAAGCTACACTAGTGGAATTTCATTCAACATTTTTCATTGTAAGAATGTTCGTTCATTTCCAATCATTAGTGGGGTCAAATCGACTTGCGTTTGACCGCAGTGGCATAAAATTCAAAGATGCAGGATGGAAAATTTTTCTCGGCTGTATGAATTTTTAACAGTGCATGTGTTTTGTTTTCCATTAAGTTAATTAATTCCAAAATCGAATGATAAAAGCAAACTACATTTGAACAACACTTACATGTACTGAAAATTTTCATACAAATTTTCATTTGAAATCCAACAAGTGTATACCCTGCTTTACTCCCAAAAGGATAGTGATCACAGGAACAGGAGGTTAAAGGGGATTCTCCCACAACAAAGACTCAGACATTAGTTAAACCCTGACAGAGGTCTTTGCTGTTTTAAACAGATAGCAGTATACTTTATTTGCATGTTCTCTGATCAGTCAGGTTATAAACAAAACATTGACTGCAGCTCCAGGTTACAGTTTGATAACCCCCACCGCAATTGTAATAAGTAAGAACAAAGAAAATATATTCATCCAACAAATAGCTGCTGTGTGCCCTTATACAGCCCTGTTGTATCTTCTAAAAAATTAACCATGGTTGTCCTATACCCAGAGATTTTGTTTATTCACAGGGCAGAATTGACATTTCAAGGCGTTTTTGGTAATGTACAGGTTGGAGCAGACGCCTTTTAAGATGTTTGATACAGAGCTTCATGGTTACTTTTAACATAGTAGTCCATATAGGTTTGCTTTCAAAATACCCATAATCATTCTTTATGTTCAGTAGGTACCTAGTACAAGTTATCTATTATATTTACTGTTATCATTTTGTACAGCCACTTACTATCTGTATTTTCTGTAGTTGTGCTGTGCCTACAGTTTTTAAAGTGCCATTTCTTTCTGCACATACTTGTTCTGTTGTCTAAAGCCTTTGGTAGACAAAAGTTGCAGTTTAAGATAAAGTATGATCAAATCCGTTTTGTAAATACAAAGGTCTTTCATATTCAGTTTTCTGAAACTACAGTGTCTGTGTTGCACTTAC